CAATAAATTATTTTTACCACGCAGCACACTTGGTCAAAGTGTGCTAAAATTAAAAAAAAAAAATTGTGTTTAATGTTGGTTTAATGGTAATAGTTGTTTTCCATACTTATAGAGCTTTAATAAAATGATATTTGTTAGTCATTAGCTTTTAAATTAAAGTTTATACGACCTGTTGAAGATAAATTATTTTTTCCGATTTGTAAATTTTAAAACAAAAATTAATTAAAAATATAAGTTGCTACACATAAATTGTAAATTTTTTATGAATTAAAAGATATGCGCTATTATTTTTTTTTTATATATTGATAGATTTATCTTTTTTTAAACAACAGAACATCGCTGCAAGTTTTTTGCTCATTAGTAAGTATTTTTGTTGATAAGTAAGAATTTGTTAGAAACTTTGAAGTTGATGTATTTTTGTATGTTTTTTTAAATGCAAATTTTTACTTTCTTTAGTTAATTAAAAAAACCTCCAAAATCCTCTGAAAATACTTTAAAATTTTTATTAAGTATATATAATATATTTTATAATTAGTTTGAGCCTCAACAAAGTACCACCTTGTCTGAAAAATAACTTTTAGGTAACAGCAGGGGTAGTACCAGCATTTTTTGGTCTTCGAGATATCTAACTTCCAGACATGGAGCAAACTCCAAACATTTATAAGCTTATGCTTATGTCAAATAAGGATACTTTGTAAAAAATTGCGATGATTGGAGCCTGGAAACAAAAAAAACCCCAAATTTAAGCCCCCCGTGCCTACTAACAAAGAAACTTAAAAATTTTAAGTTTCATTGTATAATTTCATATTTTTTGAACGCTAAAAAATTTTACTATGAAATTTAAAAATTTTTCGAGGAATATAAGACTAGTTGAAAATAGTTCAAAAAATATTTCATAATAATATACTATTGCATAAAACAAAAAATTTTTTTAATTGTATTCCAAGTTAAAAAACAATTAAAATTTTTTTTCTTTCAATTAAAAATATATTTAGAATCTCCAGATATGTTATTTAAAGCTAATTTAGTAATATTTAATAAAAAAAATAATTTTGGCGCAAAAAAAGCAATCTGATCCACCGTGCGCAGACGCACAAATTTTAAAAACTTTAATAAAGACTTTAAAGCTGACTTATTATATATTGACTGGGATGATGAAGACCGGTAATACTAATTTTGGATTGCTATGCTATGCACCTTACAACGGCTTACAATGAAACATATAAAACCGACCTAATTTTGATCTCTGAATTATTTTTAACACTTAAGACTTTTTTTTACAAATGCTGCTCATTAACTCGAATGCACTACTCATTCATCCTACGTCAACTATTAACAGTAATCTTTAGTACCCAAATTTACATAGTTAACTATTATTAACAGTAATATTAAGTATTCAAATTTACATAGTTAACTATTATAAATAGTAATTTTAAGTATCCAAATTTACATAGTTTACTATTATTAACAGTAATCTTAAGTATCCAAATTTACATAGTTTACTATAATTTCAAACAAATATTTCCGAAATCAGGTCCAAACAACATTCTCAAAATAATTCTGATTTTAACTATGAATTGTTAAATTTTCTATTTAATACCTCATTCACAAATGAAACATTTCAATTGTATTGATACGTAAAAATCGCTCTAAACTTTTGTGTACTGACTATAGATCTTTTTCTTTTTTATCTAAGATTAGTAAGCTTTTTGAAAATTTATGTATTTTAGAGTTTTCTCTTTTTTTTATTTAACTGTTTAAATGATTTTCACTTTTGGTTTTATAATAAAGCATTGTACTTGCCACGCATTAATAAAAATAACAGAAAAAATCAGAAAAACTTTTAATACTGGTCAATTTGTTTGTGTTGTTTTTAATTAAAGGACATTAATTTTTAAACATAAAATACTTACAAATTGTTTTCGATTAGATTAGATCAAAACCAGTCATTTACAACACCGTAAATTCCATAATATCCAAATTTAGAAATCAAAATATGATAGTCAACGGTAAAAAAAAAAATTCTGAAAAGTACTTTATTCTAATTCTCGATATTATTATCTCTTATTGTTCAAATATACGGTTAATATTCTCATTACAGTTACAAAAATTATTAGTAGTACTTTTTTGTTTGTTTCTTTTTTTCTTTTTTTATTATTATAATATCTAAATTATGACTTCTATGCATGTTCTGTATCCTATGTCTATGTGCTAATTATTACTTATTCTATATTTAAAAATTAATATCCTTTAATCAGACTTTTTTTATGAGTGACATCCTAATGAATCATCAACTTATTATTACAAATAATATTATACTTATATATATAATACTTAGGGCCGTCCCGAAAAGGTCTTCCATGAGGGGGTGTATGTATTTTTTTGCCAACTAGAGACACCAAAAAAAAAAGGTCCTCAATATTTGCAATTTGCCAACTATAGTTCAAAACTTGTTCAATGTGCCTACTCAATTGCTTAATTTCAACTTTGGGGAGAAAGGGTGTTGGGACACCCCTACACCCCATTTAGGACGGCCCTGCTAATAACTAATACTTTAATATTTGTTATTATTATTTGTTTTATTTATTTTTTATTTATTGCTTTTATTTTAACTTATTATTATTATAACTATAATTTGTATTACTTTTGTTATCTTGTTATATTTTTATATATTTATAATTTCTCATTATTATTATAACACACTTATTTCTAATAATGATATTTGTAAAAATTTTCGTCATGAATGACGAGCTTAAAAATATTTCTACCTAATTTAAATTTAAGAAATTAACTAAAAATATTATTAAAACAAAATATATTATTTTCCATTTTCTTAAAAAAAAGCGTTATCTACTCATATTTCTGGCACCAATTTTCATTGACCGAATTGAGATTAAAAAAGACTGCGTTACAATGTTTTTAGGAGTTTTCCTGGATGAAGACATTAAATATAAAGTACTGATAAAAATAGATGGAAACGTCTTCGTAAACGTCAGAAGAACGCAGTTCGTATTGTTAATTATGTGGGTTGTCTTACTCATTCAAAGCTTTAATATAACGAAATGAGATTACTTAACATATATGAAGTAAATGTATTCAATGTTTAATGTTTATATATATGTCGAAGAAATAATTTAGTTCCTATCGTTTTTAAAAATATCTTTACTGTAAAACCTGTTAATATATATCTTATAACATAATTATTTTATAAAAATAAATATACTAAATATTAAAAAATATTAGTAAATATCACCATACCTTTGAAAAAAGTTAATTTGCAAAATTTTGATTTGTCTTCTTCTTTCTCTGTTTTAAAAGTTTTATTTTTTCCATGGACAAACGTACTACTAATAATAACATTTTAAAAATTTTTATTTTTCTATTATTACTCAGAACTAATTTATTTTCAGTTTACCTTTTCCATTGTATTATTCTATATACTTTATAAAGTTTATTTTCTTTTATCATTATAAGATGTTTATTAGTTATTTTATCTCATCATTGTAAGAAGTTTTTTACTGCATATTAAAAAACGATTTATTTAAGGTTCTGATGACAAGATCTTTGTGATAAATTTTCAGTTACTACTTAGTTATTATTTAAACGGGTTCTAACATCCGATGATAATAATATCGATCATGATAGTAACCGCTTATAGCGATTCGCCCAACGGCTACCGAAACGTTTAAAATAATGGTAGACACCCTGTATAAATATTTACTTTGTAAATTCATTTTTTGTTCTAATATCCGATGATAATAATATATATGATGGTAATAGCTGTTAATAGAGGTTCGCGCAATGGCTACTGAAATGTTTAAAATATTCATCTTGTTTAAAATATTAATCTTAAAATATTCATCAAATTTGCATCTGTTTATCGTGTTCGACACTTTCCTACTCCGGATGGCACGTATATATATATATGTGCCATCTACTAAAAATTATTCTCGTGTTATTAGTCATTTAATCAAGTCTCATCCTTTTTCTGCGACTGTTCCTAAGTGCTCAAAAAATTCTTACTCGTCTAGATTTTTTCCTCAAACATCAGTTCTTTGGAATTCGCTTTCATCATCTTGGTTTCCTGATTCATATAATTTGCAATCTTTTAAGTCGTCTGTCAATCTTTATCTTGCTCTACAAACTTCATTGTTTCTCTTCCATAACCTTCCAACTCTTATATAAATAACATATACAAATTATATATATATATATATATATATATATATATATATATATATATATATATATATATATATATATATATATATATATATATATATATATATATATATATATATACATTGTAGCAAAAATAACTTTTGACTACTTGCCTGATGATTGTGGTAACACATGAAACTTTAAGTCGCAATATAATATTATAAATATTAGCATTTAGCTAATTCCTGATACTGCGGGTAACAGTAATATATATACTATATAGCTCTAGTTTATCTATTGAGCACTCTTTAAAATATACATTATTATACATGATAATATAAAGAAATCATCTTTAATATTTACATATATGCACCCACGTATATATATATATATATATATATATATATATATATATATATATATATATATATATATATATATATATATATATATATATATATATATATATATATATATATATATATATATATATATATATAATTTATATATGTGGGTGAGAAGACAGGAGGGCACCTCCACTTTTTTTCTGAAGGACCTTTTTCTTTTTTTAGTAATTGACGATTGTCAATCCTTCACTTCACAAAAAAATTACTTCCACATCAAAACCTGTTGGTCCGTTGGTCCTGTATGTATATAATAATTTTTCTACCGCTTACTAAAAAATATTGAAATAAAGAATAAGTATAGAAATGGTCGGTGTGGATAGACTTACCAAGATCGGTATTTTACTAATCCGGACATTTAGTATATGTATTATGTCATTTTGCGAACTTACAAAATGTACACGTGTCTTTATTACAAGCCGAAAAAAAATATCTTTGCGCTAAAGTCTTGAACAAAAATAAAAATCGCACGAAACATTTATTTATATTTTTAATTTAACGCAATAAAATAAAATGAAAGTACTTATTTTAATTATATTAATTATTAATTGGAACATTTGTTTATCTATTAAAAATGATTATTACGCTTTACTTGGTGTTAAAACCGATGCTTCTAAATCAGAGATAAGAAAAGCTTTCAAAAAAATTGCCCTTGAAAAACACCCAGATAAAAACAAGGTGAATGGAAATGATAAATAGCTCTATATAAATGTGCGTTATTTGTGTATGTGTGTTTATAAATATATATATATATATATATATATATATATATATTATATATATATATATATATATATATATATATATATATATATATATATATATATATATATATATATATATGTTTGTTTTTTTATTTATTCAAAGTAATTTTTACAAAAAATGTTGCACAATTTTAAACACCGTTTTTGAGATGCCAAGCCTCTTTTAAATGGAATGAATATTCTTAATATATATCAACTTAATATTTTTAATGTATTGTGTTATGTTTAAATGTAAAGCATTTTTGTTGAAAAAAATAGTTTTAAAATTTTTTGATTTTTCTCAAAAATTAAACTTTTTCTTATTTAAAAGAAAATGTTAGTTTGAAATAAAAACAAGTAGTGGATCAGGAAAAATTTAGAAAAATCCACCTTGGTAGACACCCTGTATAAATGTTTACTTTGTACAGACACTTTTTGTTATGCAAATTTTAATTTGACTTGTTTATGTATTATTTTATATGTGCAACAAATATTATACATCTTTCTTTTATATTCACATGATTTATACGTATAACAAAGATAAGTTTATTTTTGTATATTGATCAAATCATTATATTTCAACCAATTTAAAGAAAACTTTGTGGAACACTCTCTCTGATTTACCTGATTTTAACATATTATTATGTGCATTATGTAGATAGGTTAAATTTGAAAATTCAGACTTCCAAGTACAACGGTTCATAAAAAATTATAACCATGACATATTGGCCCCCTCCATTTACAAATGGTCAAAATTGACTACTTTAGAGTCTTATAACTTTTTTTTCACCTTCAAAAAGTATCTTTTTTTCTAGAACTATTTTCTGAATAGTTCTCTTATTAAAAAAGTGATTTTTATTAACTTGTATTACATTAGAGCAAAATTATAACTTGGTCAGCTTTGGATAAAATCCAAAAATTGCTAAAAAATGCCAAAATGAAATTAACTCTTGCATTTTTATCTTTATCAAGTCTTTACAGATAAGTTTTCTGATTAGCTACTACTGTCTGCAATAAATGGGCAAAAAATAGGGAGCATGTTGCAGTTTGAAACTCAATTTATCTAAATGCAAAATGGCCATTTGCCTAAAAAGTCAAATTTTCAGCCATTTTGAAATATTTGTAAATTTGTTTTGATTTAAGATTAACAGCATATAAGACCATAAGACCCAACTATTTGAAAAAGCAAACATAAACTTGTCAAATTTGCACCAAAAATGCCAGCATTTTTAAATAACCCTATTTTTCAATCATCAATGGTTGAATATATTATTGGAAACCAGTACCCCTCTAATCTGGCTACTGGCCTATTTGAGTGGTGCAACTAATTAAAAGTCATTTCTCAACAAAAAGAAAGGGGTGCAGTTAGTTAGAAGTCATTTCTTAACAAAAAAAAAAGGAAAATATGGTTGGTTGCCTTGTCCTTGATTTGGTCCTGATAGTATTTAGGAGCACAAATAAAGTGGCAGTAACTTTTTAGAGACCTTCATTGTTGTTTAAATGTGATAGTGATACTTAAAAAAAAAGTTAAAAGATGACACAAACAGTTTTTATTATTAGGTTTGGTTTTTACTTTTTAATTGTTAATTTGAAACAATATATATATATATATATATATATATATATATATATATATATATATATATATATATATATATATATAATTTTTTAAATATTGTAGATTAAAAAGTTAACTTATTTTTCCACTGGCTTCCTGCGCCATGAAATAATGTGTAGTTTGAACGTGAGGATATTCTTCTTTCAGAATTGGTGTGATTTTTGAAGCAACAAAAGATCGCCTCAGTATTCTGAATTAGATTGTCATATATAACAAATTACATTTTACTTTCTAGGGATAGGTTTCTTTTAAAGTCCTCATATATATGATGTGAGTTCTTTAATAGAAAACTTTCCTTAGAAATGGATGAAGAGTTGCCTAATATTCGGAAAAATAAGATAAGTTTCATCCTAAGTTACAAATTAAAAATTTTCATATTTTTAATTTGTATGCATAACATATTTTTTTTGTCTTGGATTTGCCTACATAAAATTTTTTTTGAGTTGTTCACTAACTCTTCTTGAAACTCATGAGAGTTTTTAACTATCTTTTCTACAAAGCACCTCTCAGTTTTAAACCATTGTTTATAAGTTATTTCATTAGCACAAGGGCATTTAATAATAAGGATTGTCTAACATTAATAACTTACTGTCAGACAATCAATTCGGTTTTCGATCCTCTTGCTCTACGGCTGACTTGCTAACTGCTGTGATTGAAAGATTTTATCGTGCATTAGATAGAGGCGGAGAAGCTAGGGCTATTGCTCTTGACATAAATAAGTCATCCTTGAAGGCCAACACTCTTCTTTATTTCCAGTAACTTCTGGGGTACCTCAAGGTTCTATCATTGGTACTGTTTTGTTTCTTATCTACATTAATGATCTTCCTGACAACCTTATATCTAAAGTAACTCTTCTTGCTGATGACTCAACTTTATACTCCTGTCTTGACAAAAAGTCTTCTGTTTTTGATCGCTTAGAAGAGGCAGCCGATCTTGAATCTAATCTCACTTCTGTAACAGATTGGGGCTTACAGTGGCTATTTTGCTGGTTCTTCTAGTGATGCTCTTTCTCTTCTAGACAAGGCCTAAAAATGCATTGTAAACGTAGTTGGAACTGCTCTATCTGCTAAGCTTGAGCCTCTTTCCTATTATTGTAAAGTTGCATCTCTTTCTCTTTTCTACAAATACTATCATGATTGCTGCTCTAAGGAGCTATCGTCTCTAGTTCCATCAACTAAAACTCATTCTTGCTGTACTCGTCATTCAGCAAAGTCTCTTTTCTGTATATTCTTTTACTGTATATGCCCCTGCATGCTCTAAAAACTTTTGATTTTTTCCCCGCACCACAACCCTTTAGAGCTCTCTCTCTCTCATCTTCATGTTTTCTCGACTCATACAACATTAAACTATTTAAGTAATCTTTAAAATTTCCTCTAAAAGCTATATATAGGCTAACTTTATTTCCTGATCATTGTTTTTTAAAACTACAACTTGCATTTCTTTCTGTTTGAACTTGCCATCAAAATGTAGTGCCCATTAAGGTTTTTTTTATAATTTTCTTTATTTCTTCTTTGATTCTATCAGCTTATTTTATAACTGCTTTGTAAATACCAGCCTGTGTTGGGGTTGCAATATTAATACCTTCTTCTGACATTTGATGACATACTTTTTTGCTCTGGTGTGTACTTAGATTCACATTCTTTACTAAAGAAGCAGCTGAAGCAGTTATAGCTTTTTTTTTTTCTTTTAGGTCTACTGAAATTGCTAGTAGATGGGGAAAAATCGTTTTCAGTCTTTCTTTCACTGTTACTAGTCAGTGATTTCTATTTGATGGATGGTTTTGCTGACAACAGTTACTTTATTTTTGATGCATTTAGATGGATGAGTTGGAACAATTTTTGAAGTAACATATTCTACTTTTCCATTACTTTTAATTGCGCTTTGTAAAACAAAGTGCAAGTTAAAAGCAATTTTTTCTTCAATACTAAGCCATGCAACTTTTTTATTTATAATATCAATTAATATTTCATAATAGCTGATACTGATTATCTGTGCCTTCTGATCTCTGCTGTTTTTATTCACCAAATTTTCAACTTTTCTTGAAACTGATATTTCTGTTATTGCTGGAAAATTCAGTTTGATCCATAATGAAATTAATTCACAGGCGATAACTTTGCATCTTCCAAAAACAGGTTTCTCTAAAGAAGCCAAGTAAATGAGCCTCCTAAAACAATTAGTGCATTTAGAATTCTAATTAGCTTGTCAAGTGGTTCTTGAATTTTATTGATTTCTGTTCTTTTTACCTTTGCTTTCTCAAAATGAGCTAAATTGCTTTGCTAAGTTTTGTTGTTTTTGTTTATGTCATTGCTTATTTTATACATCCCTACCTAAAAAGGTTTAATGAAATATTCTTTATAATTTTAAACATTACATTATAGAAAATGTACTTATACATTAAAAAATAACTTTAGCAAGGTTTTGTATAACAAAAAAAACCCTGAAAAATACTGAATTAAGTGATACAAAAAGCAAACTAGCTAGTTTTAAATGTTTTTATATTTATGTGTGTGTAATAAATATATATGTGTTTATGGGTGAATAATTATATATGTATTATTAAATGATTATTATTTACTATTATTTATTAAAAATCTTTTCAGGCGGTTCTCTATGACAAGATCTTATGATCTTCGATTATCCGCGTTCTTATTATGAAGTTAACAAAATTTGTAATTCTTATTATATGTGTTTTATGTATTTTATTCATACTTTTATTGTAAAACTTATTTCAAATAAATAAAAAGAACAAAAAAAAATTAATTTATTGTATGCAATGAAAATGGTACGTGTGACTATTTTAGTATTAATGTTATTACAATGGTAGTAACAAAAGTATTAATGTTATTACAATGGTAGTAACAAAAGTTTAATGTTATTGGCTGTTTTAGATATAATTCTGATTGTTATTACAAAGCTGTTTCAGATATTATTCTGTTTATTATTACAAGGCTGTTTCAGATATTATTCTGTTTATTATTACAAGGCTGTTTCAGATATTATTTTAAAAGTTAAAAAGTTAAAAAGTTAAATAATATAAGTAAAATGGTTTTAGTCTTGATCTTTTAAAATAGTTGTTTTTAATTTTGTTCACAATACAGCCAGTGACGTATCCAGAAATTATTTGGGCATATTGGTCTAAAAATCCTGTCTACCTTAGAGGACTTTTTTTTTCTCTTTTTCTTTTTTTATTTAAATACAATTATTTGTATATAATATATAACTCGCCCTAATATTTTAAGTTTTTCTAATAAAAGTTTAAATAAATAACCAAAATAATGTTACATTTATTACAGAATGACGACTTTAACTCCAACATCAATCAAGGCTAAGGGGTCATCCATAAAGGATGTCATGCTAAGTTTATGCTAAAATATTAAATATTAATAACTATAAATATAAAGAGTATGATTTCATAAACAAGCAATAACTATAACGCTTAATAAACAATATTTGTATGTCTCTTTTATATAGACTTGAAAAGATTTATTACATCGTATATTTATTGCATAACAAGGTAAATTCATTCGAAATTTTAATTACTTCATTCAAAAATTAATAACTTTTTTTTTCTAGCTCTAATTTTATTTTTCAAATCAAGTTTTTTGGGGCAAATATTAAAATGTTATTTTGTTTTAAAAACTTTTATTTGTTTTATTATTTAAAACATTTTTAATACAATTTTACTGTTAATGAAAAAGTTTAAAGCTCATATAGTTTAATCGCTTTGAAAATTATGTTATGAAAACGTAAGCTGAGGAGAAACTCAAATTAATGTATTTTAAAAATGTTATTTAAAAATGCTAAGCGCTTTATATTTTAATCCAATCAAAACTTGCGTTTTGCATTTTAATCCAATTACAACATGTTCTATATTTCATCAACGTGAATTCAAATTATGCATTCAGGTTGGCTTAAAATACATTTATAATGTATTTTAAAAGTCGTTTTTCAAAAGTTTATAGGCGACAATATCATAACAAATGCTTTTATAAAATTGTTTTAAATTGAGTTTGGGCTGAAATTTGGGGGTCCATACCGGTATACCAGTATCAAAATTGGCCTGGATACGTCGCTAAAAACATCATCTTTGCTAAAAATTAAATAAGATTGTTATGTTCATTGTTAATGCATACAATTTTTTCCGTTGTAGAGAACTGCATTGAGGTCATAATTTAAATCTTGAAAGCGTGTAATTTTAATTGAGTTTTTTAAAATCATATTCAGCAAAACATTATATATGCTTTGATTGCTAAGAAGTCTCCTTGCAATCCTGTTTATGAGTGAAATGAACTGCTGTTTTTTGTTAAGTCTTGTATGGTTGGGCGATATGAATAATATAAAAATACAAAAATTGATTGATTTTTGTATTTTTATTTGATCAGTTTTGTATTTAACTAGAAATAAAAAAACAATTTCTTTGAATAGATAATAATTGTTGGCTTTTATCTTTATAAATGTTAATTATTATAATTGGTGCTGAATACAAGCCACATGTAAACTGAAAGATTTTGGAGGATTTTAAAGGATTTCATGCAAAAAATATTTTCATAGAAATTGTTGAAGGATTTCACGTTAATATTTTCATAGAAGTTGTTGAAGGATTTCACGCTGTAAATATTTTCATTGAAATTGTAACGTGAAGAGTTTATTAAGATAAATTTTTAATGTTTAAAGTACTTTTAAAGCAAAAATTTAATAAAGGTAAAATTTAAAAAAGCACAATCTGTTCAACAAATTGGAAAGTTTATTATTCTTATATTAATATTTCTTATATTATTCTTATATTAATATTTCTTATATTATTCTTATATTAATATTTGATCTAACTCAAGAAATAAAGATTATAAAATATTTTTAGTTCTTCTTTTTATATATTCTTGATGTAAAACCTGTTATGTCATATATTTTAGGGAGATGCTGCTGCTCATGACACTTTTCTTAAAATAAACAAGGCGTATGAGGTTTTAAAAGGTATATAAATAATTTTATAGGTATTTATTAGTAAACTCCATCAAATTTAAAGTTACCTTAATATTTTACAATACTTTATTAGTGGGCATGAGTATTAATATACAGTTTGCAAATTACTATTTATAAGCAGTGCAGTTATTAATTTGAGAGTACTTTTTAATTAATAGTCTTTGAGACTGCTGTTTGTATTTTATGCTTAATGCTTATACATCATCATCATCATCATCATCATCATCATCATCATCATCATCATCATCATCATCATCATCATCATCATCATCATCATCATCATCATCATCATCATCAGTAGAGATTCTTTCTGGGAAAAATAATAATCTAAATTCCCATAGTCCCGGGAAGTTTTTTCCGGGATTTTCAAACATACATTTTTTTAACTTTCCCGCCAAAATCTAAAGTGTTTTGTTTTCCGGAGAAATAAATTTTATTTATAGTTTTTACGTATTGAAATTTATGACAGCAAATTAGAAATTAAAAAAAAATGTCTTTAAATCCAAAAGCTTCTAAAGTTTGGAGTTATTTTGATTCTAAAAAATCAAATGAGGCACAATGTAAACATTGTCCAAAGGTATTATTATGCAAAGTTGGTTTGACTGTTGGATTGAAAGACATTTAGAAAATATCCACAACATAATTTTAAATAAAGAAGACGAAACATCAAATAAAAAACGTTGTGTTCAACTAACAATTGATTTTATGACAAAAAAAGTTTTGTTAGGTGAGCGATTGGCTCGTTTTGCTGCTACTGATGGGTTTACTATAAATGCAATAACTAAAAGGATCAAATTTATGAGTTTTTTCGTGATAAAGGGTACACTCTACCAAAATGTCATGAATCTTATTTATAATTATTATATCGAAATAGTCGAAGAAAATAAAACAAAGATACTTAAATAAAAGAAAAAAACAGTAAGTTTAGTATAGATTTGGATGAATATTCAAAACATGGCAGGAGATTTATCAATATATATCTTCACTTTAAAAAAGGGTTTATTAATCTTGGATTGCAGAGAATGTTAGGATCACACAACTCAAACGATTGCCTTTAACTACTCATAAAAAAATTAGACATGTTTAACGTAAGTTTTTTAACGGATGTAGTCTGCATTACAACTGATGGTGCTAGTGTTATGAAAAAACTAGGAATTATTTTTCCTTCCGAATATCAACTTTGTTTTGCACATGCAATACATTTAGCTTGATGTAATTTAAAATATAAAGTTAAAAGTAATAATCAGAGTGCTAAGAGTACAGAGGACAAAGATATTGAAGATAATGGTTTTGATGATGATGATGATGATGGTGATAATGATGATGATGATGATGTTGGTGATAATGAGGAGGAGGAGGAAAAAAATGATACTAGTCACCAAGCTCCAGATCTTGTTCCTGAGCTTCATAAGGTTATGGCTAAAGTTCGAAAAATTGTTGTAACTTTTAAAAGATCTCCTTTGAAAATGGATTCTTTAAAACGTTATTCTAAAAATGAATTTGGACAAGAGCTACTGCTAATTTTGGATTCAAAAACTTGTTGGAACTCAATGTTGTCCATGATTCAAAGATTCATTAAAGTTAGAAAAGCAATTTTTAAATCTCTGGTTGATTTTAATTTAGAAAGTCTAATGTTATCTGATGATGAAGTTACAGTAATTGAAAATTTGTCAAAATGTCTAGAACCTATTGTCTTAGGTTCTGAAATGATTTGTAGAAAGGAAGCAATATTATTAACACATTAAAATTTATTGTTAAAGAACTTGATGTTAAAGGGGACTACCTAGCAAAGAATCTTAAAAATGCTTTAATTGAAAAGAATACGTCAAAGAAGAAAAAACAATCTTGTTGGTTTATTAAGATTTTTAGATAATCCACAATCTCTAAAAAATGATATGGATGATGACTTATTTTGCATCCCATCTAAAACAGTTATGATTAATTTAGCTATTGAAATATCTGGTCGACTTTTTCCAATAATTAAAAATATAGCAAAAGAAATAGACAGCGGTAGCAAAGTTAACAATAGTGTTAATATAAATCAGGCATCCGAATCTATGGCTGCTAGATTAGAAAAATTTGTAAAAAAAAAGGATGACTTTGAAGTTAAGTGTAATAAACCAACTATGCGCCAAGAATTTAACTTGTTTGAAGCGACAAATAAAAGATCGCATAGTTTAGATATGCTTTTTAATGCACTTTTAACTATTCGTCCATCCAGTGTTGAGGCTGAAAGGGTGCTTAGTTCAACTGGATTTTTATTTACAAATTTTAGAACTAGATTAACAGACAGTCATCTTAATGCACTGGTGTTTCTGAGAAGTCACTTTAAATTCAAAAATAGTTAAAAAAATAAAGAGAAAAATAGAAAAGTGTTGTGTTATTTGATTTTCCTTAAAAAAGAAGTTTTCCCGGGATCTCCAGAACACTTAATATATTTCCCGCTATCCCGGGAACGAATAAAGTCCGGGAAACCGCAATCCCTAATCATCAGTATATGGTTCGTTATTGCAACAAGGTCAATGCCTCACAGGATTTTAGATTATTGTCATGCCGCTTAGTATTTTTTAATTTTTTTTCAGTATTACCAATTAGAAAGATCTAATTGGTAATACTGAAAAGATCTTTCAAAAATAACATATCTTTTTAGATATGTTATTTTTGAAAAAATTTTTTGAACAAAAACTGTAAATATAAGAGCCGTTTAAAAAAAAGTATTTTTGCATGTATAATGGGGTATGTTATTTTTATTAATTTTCTTCAAATCAAGCTATAAACTAAATAAATTTACATTTATAAATTTTGACATTTTTCATATCATCGTGTCATTTTTAAGTTTAAGTAAACATTTTATAATATATTAGTTAACTAATCTCGTACTTGGGTTTTCAAAAAAAAAAAATTTAATAAGATTTTTTTTAAATACGCTTTTAATAAAAAAAAATTTTCTGGATGTTTACTAAATTGAATGTCTAAAAAATATAAACTTTGCTTTTGAAACAAAAACGACTTTTTGGAAATTTGGTTTTAACTGTGAGGTGTTGCATTACCAAACTTTCTGGTTTTTGTTTTTAAATTAATTTGAAAGGTCTATTTTGCAATGACTTTTAAGTTATTGTTTTAAGATAAAACTTATTTACACTTTTTTATACAAAAAATAAAGTTGATGCAAATAATAATTGTAAAATCAAATGGAAACTCTTCAAAGTCTCAGAGGCGCGTTATAGGACTTTCAGGGTAAAGAAATGAACAAATAATTAAAACAGGGGAAACTTTTTATTCCAGAATATAAAACTGTATATTGAATGTTTATAAAAATAAATATTACAAAAAATAAATAAAGCTTTTAATACAATATTTAAAGTTAACAAATGTGCTCATTTTGAATACATAAATAATACTATTTTAGATTATTTTAGAATAAAAACAATTACAACAATCCTCTGACATCTTTTTTTTAATCTATGTAATAAATTTTTTCAAGTATTTTTAACTTAATTTTGACTTTATGAAAAAAATACACACAGCAGATTGTTGTTTTAAACAACCCAGCAAACATTTTACAGTGGAATTCCCAGCAAACATTTTACAGTGGAATTTTAGTTGACCTTTATAGGCATTTTGAGGGTTTTTCACCATTTTTCCACTGTAGTAAAGCTCATTGGTTACATAGTGGACCATTAGTGGCAGCCGCCAAAATGGCTAGCCAACAACATAGTTTTTGTAATTAGCTTTTATATTACATGTTGAAGAGTTATCGGCTAGCCACTTTTAGCGAATGCCTTAAGTAACCTAGGAGCAAACCTCCAATTAACCGCTTAAAATGCTTATATAGGTCCACTGCAAATCCACTATAAAATAATTGCTGGGTTATTAAAAATTATAATTGGATACCATTTTCACAGATTTTTATAAAAAAACAGTTATTTATAATCTTTTATTGCAAAATTTATATAAATTGTACAGAAGAGAATGGGCACTAGATTTCATAAGGTTGTTAAGACTTACAAAGGAACAAGCATACTATTGCATAAAAAAAGAAAGTTAACTAAATCTGTGATCAATTCAATGCAGAACTTCTATGGTCTAGCAATAAGAAACAATCTTGACAGTTTGTATGCTATGATAAAAGCTGTTTGGGCGGTTTTGTTTCATTGTACAGATTTTGACTACAAGGAATGTCGACACGGTATTTGCCCAAGAGACACTGAGACTTGGTGCAAATATCATTTAGACAAAGTTCATGGTAAAAATACTTATGTAGAGCAATTAAATCTTTCTGTTTCCGTCTTCAACATTTTAAAACCAACTTTTACTGATTTATCTTCAGATGGTTCACTAAAAAATGTCTTCATGGTAAGATCCAAAACTCCAAAAAGGTACTCAACCAGATTATTTGGAGACGTTGCCCAAAAAATATTTTTGTGGGTAGAGGGGTCTTAGAGTCTGCTGTTAATTCATCTGTTATTGAATTTAATTAAGGTCCAAATGGAATCCTATTTGTACTAAATAAATTTCAACTAACAGGATATGTTACGTCTATGAAACTTAATGAAAAAAATAAAGAAACTATAAAGTGGTCTCTTCAAAAGTCCACTGACCAACTCAAAAAGAGAAGAAAATAACTAAAAACAATTAAAAAGGGTTACTTAGACAAAGATGGTAAAGAAAAAACTTAAAATATATTCCTGGAGGGTTTTGGTATGTTTTTATGAACTTTTTATTATGGTTTTATTCTTTTGTTTTATATATTTGCTGTTTCCTCAGAATTAAGTTTTTCCTTGAATATAAATCATTAAAACATGATAACTTTGGACTCGTTTAAGCTTTTGATCTAATTTTTTTTGTTTTTACATAATTAAAAAGGATCCGGATGAGAGAAGGATATTTAAAATAAAATGAGGGAAGTATTTTTTTATGAGGCTAGTGTTCATAAAAAAATACTTATTTTATTTTAAATATCTGCAACATTTGAAATAAACATAAAAAAA